TATAAAGGCGGAGCCTTTAGTACAATTTTTTCAGCAATTTGGATAGAAGGTCCTCGATGTATTTGGGATGAAGGCGCTAAACAATGGACACGTAATGGACCAATCAAAGTCGCTCTTAAAAGACTTAACAATTCACATAATATGAGTGAGGAATATCTGAATCAAGTAAGTCATATTTGGAAATATTTAATCATAATCAATACATTTTAATAATTTATAAAAAAATATTTGCTAAATTTTTTAGGTTTATAAATATCACAAATGTTTACATAGCGGAAGTATCGCGGATTTTTTGGAATAACCAAAGATCCTTGCTCAAATTACATGTTTGTTATGAGATATAATGAAAATGGAGATTTGCATTCATATCTTGATGAAGCACAAGGAACTCTTTGTTGGAGAAATAAAGTTGAGTTGCTTTGGCAAATATCTGGAGGAATTGAGTACATTCATGAAAATGGATTAATTCATGGCAATATTCATGGAGGTAATCTTTTGATTGAAAACGATTTGTACCCAATAGATGTTCGTATTACCGATGTGGGTTTATATGTTCCAGTTGATGAGATAAATACAAATAAAAGATATGGAGTTCTTCCTTATGTAGCTCCTGAGATCTTACAAGGAAATCAACCAACGAAAGAAGCGGATATTTACAGCTTTGGAATTATCATGTGGACACTTTCTGCTGGTATTCGTCCATGGTGTAATAGACCACATGATCTTACATTAGCTACGGAAATTTGTTTTGGTCTTCGTCCTAAAATAATTGATGGAATTCCAGACGTTTATATTCAGTTGATGACACAATGTTGGAATTTTGATCCTTCAAAACGTCCAACTGCATCTCAATTATATGAATTGCTTGGAAACTGGGTAAATGATATTTGCGACGACCCCGCTCAATCTGAATTATCTGATCAATTTGAAATTGCTGAAGAGAAAAGGATCTTGGATTTAGAAAAAAAAAAATTTGACATACAAATAATCCATCCAAAAGCATTTTATACAAGCAGATACTTGTATTTTCCCGAATTGACTGACTCTACTAGAAATGACGAATAGATAATAGGAAACTTTAATTGGCAAAAATAGTAACATATTTTGAATATAAATTGGCATTTATTATGATTCATTTTAATAAGACAATACTTAAGTTTTATATGCATTAATTATTGTTATTTAATATTATTCTCTTTATGTATTTAAGAAATCTTTTATATATAGAACTCAAATTATGATTTAATATAATAATTTGATAAATTATAAATCTAAAGGTCGATTTTGTTTTTATATAGATAGAAATCAT